ATTGAAATGGATCTAGATAATCCGTTTCATCCAGGACAGTCTGGAGCTGCTCAGCCACCACACGTTCCAACACCTTGCCCAGAAAAGGGAGGTTTGCTATTGGTTTGCTTTGCTGTAGTGAAGTTTGTTTCTTTATACGGCTATTATGTTATCTATATTTTTCAGCTGAAAGTTGTTCTGGGACCTTGCATAGAGACATTGATCCTTCTAGATCGGCTTTGCTACCTCCAAGAGCAGGTAATTCTTGAGTATGTGATACCAATGGGTATCAAACCATATAGAGAGTCTTTTAATTATACAGACAACAATGGAGTAAGTATCTTTCATATTACACACACAAAATAAATGGTTTCCTCATATTTGCCAAACCTCAAAGTGTTCAGTCTGTGATTTTCAGCATTGCCTAGCCGCTGCTTTTAGTTTGAAGAAATCAGCTTGTTACATTTTTATTTTCTCTTAATTCCATGGTAGATTACTAGAAATAAAGAAGCAGCATTGCCTGAACAGATATTTTAATTGTTAAAAACTGAAGTGCTGAGTTTTGACTTTTTAACTTTGTATATACCATTCAAGTTCTATATATAGTGTTGCAGGATGGGAAATACTGGGCTCAACAATACTACCAGTGAGAAGGATCTTGGAATTGTTACAGATCACAGGTCTAATATATGAACCAGTTGTGTGATGTGGCTGCAAAAAAGGGCAAATGCTATTATAGGATGCATAAAGTCACATTATTTATTGAAGTGCTAGTTACCTGTATTTTGCCCTGGTTAGGCCTCATCTTCAGTACTATGTCCAGTTCTAGACACCACACTTTAAGAAGGATGCAGACAAATTGGGAAAGGTTCAGAGGAGGGCAACAAGGATGATTAAGGGATTAGAAATCAAGCCCTATGAGTAAAGACTGAAGGAACTGAGTATCTTTAGCTTTGAAGAAAAAAAGACTAATGGAGATACAATCATTCGTTTAGTCGTTCAGTCGTGTCCGACTCTTTGTGACCCCATGGACCAGAGCACACCAGGCCCTCCTATCTTCCACTGCCTCCTGGAGTTGGGTCAAATTCATATTGGTTGCTTCGATGACACTGTCCAACCATCTCATCCTCTGTCGTCCCCTTTTCCTCTTGCCTTCACACTTTCCTAACATCAAGGTCTTTTCCAAGGATTCTTCTCTTCTCACGAGATGGCCAAAGTACTGGAGCCTCAGCTTCAGGATCTGTCCTTCCATTGAGCACTCAGGGTTGATTTCCTTCAAAATGGATGTTTGTTCTCCTTGCAGTCCAGGGGTCTCTCAAGATCCTCCTCCAGCACCACAGTTCAAAAGCACCAATTCTTCAGCGGTCAGCCTTCTTTATGGTCCAGCTCTTACTTCCATACGTCACTACAGGAAAAACCATAGCTTTGACTATGCGGACTTTTGTTGGCAAGGTGATATCTCTGCTTTTTAAGATGCTGTCAGAGTTTGTCATTGCTTTCCTCCCAAGAAGCAGGCGTCTTTTAATTTCAGGGCTGCTGTCTCCATCTGCAGTGATCATGGAGCCCAGGAAAATAAAATCTGTCACTTCCTCCATATCTTCCCCTTCTATTTGCCAGGAGGTGATGGGACCAGTGGCCATGATCTTAGGTTTTTTGATGTTGAGCTTCAGACCGTTTTTTGCACTCTCCTCTTTCACCCTCATTACAAGGTTCCTTAATTCCTCCTCACTTTCTGCCACCAGAGTGGTATCATCTGCATATCGGAGGTTGTTGATATTTCTTCCAGCAGTCTTAATTCCGGTTTGGGATTCCTCCAGTCCAGCCTTTCGCATGATGTATTCTGCATATAAGTTAAATAAGCAGGGAGACAATATACAGCCTTGTCTTACTCCTTTCCCAATTTTGAACCAATCATTTGTTCCATATCCAGTTCTAATTGTTGCTTCCTGTCCCATATATAGGTTTCTCAGGAGATAGATAAGATGGTGAGGCACAATAGCACTCTTCAAATACTTCAAAGGTTTTCATACAGAGAATAGGCAAGACTTGTTGTTGATCATTCTATGAGAAAAGGCTCAAGTTACAATAAGTCATATTTCAGTTAAATATAAAAAAAACCTGCCTAACTTTTCGAACAGTATGACAGTGGAATCAATTATTTTGGAAGGTGGTGAGCACTCTATCACTGGAGATAATGGAGATCCATCACTGGGGGCATTAAAGAGAAAATTGTGTTCCATCATTAATGAGAATGTTGCCACCCATATCCATGGCCAGCTACTTTTTTCTTTTTGTTTTGTTTCATTTTATTTCTTTGGATTTTGCGTCCTTCTCGTAGTATACATATGCATTACCCAAGGTAGACAGAAGACGGTACTTGAACAAAAAGGTACTTTAGTATTCTGCTGTCTGGGCAAATGGCTAACGGCTGTGCTAGACATGGGTTCTCACAGGACCATTGCATATGTTTGGAAGTTCCCATGTGACTCTTTGCAGAAGTAAGCAAAGCTGCTAGTAGGCATTGCAGGGAGGTTCAGATTAATGCAGGCACTACAACCACAGGACTTCAGCTTTTTAACATGCTTTAACAAAGCCACTTACCAAAAGGTCAGTGGCAGAAAAGTTTTTGATATAGGCAAGTAAGAATATTCATGGATTTGGCAAGGATTCTGTGATTTTTTGTGACATCTGTGATGTTTTTTTCTATTTTGGGGAACACCCATGAATCTGAAATATATGATAGTGGCTAGAAGCAACTGTTGCACTATTTCTATTCTTTCTTTTTTGGTGCTGATCAGAACATAAGTATGGTATCTTTCCCTCTCTTTGTTGCTAATCCTCCTTCCCTTGCAGTTTCCTTTGCTTCCCTCTGTCATACCTGCTCTCCTGAAATGCACCATCAGTGGTAATGAATCTTTGGAGGCCTAGCTTCCATGCCGTATCCTGGGAATATATCCCTTCCAAATTCTCTGCAGTTAATAAACTTATGCTTTATTTGAGTTGCCAGTAGATTTTTTTAAAATTTAAAAACAATGAGAAGTTTCACTTTCTTTTTTGATTGACAAGATGAGAGAAGGTGGTTTCAAAGCTCCCTTTGCCTTGCAAGTTTTCCCCTGTGTATATTTGCAGCATTTCTCCTTTACAGTATCTGGCTCCCCTATTTACACATGGCTTCTCTCACACACTTTTTTTGTCCTCTTGAGACCAATTAATATAAGAAACAAGCAAACAAAAGGACTGGATTACAGAAAGGGACTTCTCCTGGAAAGGAAGAACAGTCTGGAATGCTTTTCTTTGGGAGAGAAAGAACGATTGTGTGTTCTAGTCTTTTTAGGGCCAGTTTTGAAAGCAAACAGTTGCTGTGTTGTGCTGGGGCTTGCCAAGAAAGTTTGAACAGCATTGTTTTCCATAGGTTGCGGGTGAGAAACCTGAGCCTATGGAGAACCTTGACATCTGTGCCCTTAACCTACTGTGTTTTCCTGAAAATAAGACACGGTCTTATATTAATTTTTGCTTCAAAAATGCATTAGGGCTTATTTTCAGGGGATGTTTTATTTTATTTTCATGTACAACAATCTACATTTATTCAAATACAGTCATGTCATCTTCTGGTTGCTGCACAGTGCTGCACAGTGATGGCGGGCAGGGTTTCACTTAACTGGGGCTTATTTTGGGGTAGGGTTTATATAATGAGCATCCTGAAAAATCATACTAGGGTTTATTTTCAGGTTAGGGCTTATTTTCGGGGAAACAGGGTACTCTTTAAATCTCAGTGGGACAAGGTTCCAGTCTTAAGTGTGAAGGGAAGGGCTCTGTGTATGTGTGTGTTCAGAAGCTTTCATGCTGTATATTTGATGGTTGATAGAAGTAATTTCTGGCTGCTTAGTCCAGACAGTTGATGGCTGCTTGTTTGATAAGCCTTTGGATGTGACAGCACATTTTTCACACTGTCCTTAAGCTAAATGCAACCAGGACATTTTTCAATAACCATATTTTCCCATTTTGTCTAAACTGAGAAACAGTGGTGACTAATTTTGAAGCAAGGTGGGATATTAGGCTAATTTCAGACCATAGTTTTACTATTCTGGCTTATTCTGAAGCTGACAGTCATATTTTTCCCATTTCCAATGAAACAGTAAATAGTGCTTAATTAAAAATATCCTGGTTTGTTTCTAGCTCAATCAAAGGGAAGAAAAAAGAACTGTAAACCCACACACTGATCTTTATTTTTGCTTTTTCCTGTGAAATACTGATTATGTAAATGTAGCCAGTGGTTAGACTTTAGCTTACTGATATTTCAGTCAGTAGTAGAATTTTCCATCCTCCCAGCCAGGCAAACTGCAAACATGTAAATAAGTATTGTATTGATTAACATGTAGTGTTCTGAAACTTGTACAAGTAATGAATAGTAGATTCAATGCCAGTGCTGGGTCAGAGATTTTATTTTGCTATACAGACATGTCAGCATATGCTGTTCTAGACTATAACTGAAGTTTTTTTTTTCAAATTGGGGTCAAGATGGTATTTGATACTGTCAAAATTGAATAAAATTAACGCTAGTTATCTAAATGTCTTCAGAAAATGTGAGAAGGAAATTGGTACATACTTTCATATGTGGTGGGAATGTGAAAAAATACAAAGATTTTGGAAACCAATATTTTCCATTTTTCAAAATTATGAGTTTCATATTCATAGGCCCCTATCTCTGATTCTTCTCCCCCAAATCCCAAAAGCAGAATATCAAAAGACAGCACAAAGTGGGGTAGAAGTCAGAAGTCCAGCAAGAGGTAACTGACTGCTTCTGGTGATTTGCACACTGGTATTTGAGATATGCAAGAAGAAAGAGAGATCAGCGCTGCTAAACTTAACTGAACTGCTTTTGCTTAAATTCACTGTTTAATTCACCCCCACAACTCTTAGCATATCTGCCTGTATCTCCTATCCTTTTATTAGTGACAGTGCAAAGTGTTTTGAGACAAAAAAGCTATGTGTTGATTTTATATGCATTGTGGTGATAGAGTGCTGTGTTGATCACAGACTGTCATGTCAGAAATCTAGGTGTAAATGCTGAAGCTGCCAGTGAAAAATCCTGTTGTTTGATATAATTCCTAACGAGCAGATAAAGAGTCATTGCCATGATTCTCAGGGGTATGCATACATGCTGGGTTGGTGTGTGAACGTACATCCTCAGGAATTGCATCAAGGGTTTTTTATTTGCCAGTTAAGAAAAGATTTAAAGTTACAAATTTTCATATGTTAAGTGACAGGATTTCAGCCATTATATAAAGTGCTCCTATTTTTCACAAGTTACATTTGTTTAGTATGTTTTTTAAAATGAATGTATTTCTGCAACTTAACTTTCAACACAAATGGCTTTCTGGTGTATTCTGATCAACCTTTTACAGGACAACATTGCCTGGTCTGGACTGGTGAAGTTATTTGATCCGATAAAATCTCCTCGATGCTATGCAGTTGTGGCTCTGAAGAAACAGGTTCTCGACCTGCAAGCAAATAACTAGAGTGAACTAATGCTAGGGACTGCTGGTGCTGCTATTGTGTTTTATACTCAGCTTATTTTTTACAGTTCTGAAATATTAAACATTCCATTGACGGTTAATTTCTTTTTAAAAGTTTTGATATGTTTATAGATCATGACAAATGAATCAGAAAAAAATAAAATTTCATCTATCCTTTATATGCCAAGGCATTTGAAGTTATTAATAAGAGAAATAGGAAACATGAAATTTTAGCTCTGTAAATGGTGTGATAAGATTGTATCATTACTTTGTGAAAAGGAGGTAAAGGAATGTAATACAAAATAGCCATGATCAGTCGCCCAATTAAAAATGTGAAAGCGGTTATGTGTATCTGAAGGCTTAACTTCTGCCATCACATTTTCTGATCAATTCCTTCCCCTTTCAAAGAGTTTTCAACGTCAGAGTGCAATTTTGATTATTTTTAAAGGACATTTTATTTAGGACATTTAAGAATTGGATCTTAAGGGATAACAAACCCAGCAATAGACACTGGATATCAGAAGAACACATGAATGTCTTAAATAGCTCATGCATTAGCTATTTTAAAAAAAAAATTAGTTGTTGGATATGCTTTTGGCCATATAATTTCTGGATTCTCATCATACATACTAATCTGCTGCTTAATGCTATCTTGGGTCCCTTACATAGTAATAGGTACTGTATTACCTTTTGATTCTTTCCTAAACTACCTCATATGTTTGAACAGAATGGTATACCCATATGTGAGCTACTGACAAGTGTGATAGAACAGTGACCAGGAAGTTTCAGTTTACACTTCCATGACAACAATAAGCATGTTAACTGAAGTATTTTATACCACAGGAGACTGTGACCACATGCAGTCTTCTGCAACCTGTACTTCTTATAATACAACAAAATCCTTGAAAGACTCCTAAAGTCTCCTAAGTTTTTTTTTCCTCATTGCAGAGTTGAGCTGTGTTTTAAAGGAAGTTGTTCCATGTCAGGGTTTAAGAAATGATTATGCATTTTTATTTAAAAATTATTCAAGTATGTAAAATGTATGAACTCTTGAGAATTAGGGACTAACATCACATGAAAAGTGCTTCCCATTGTGTTTATTTGATATTTTATACAAAGTATTTGTAAGATACGAACTTACAGTTTACCAATCAAACAAAATGTTGAAACATTCTAAAGATACTAAATTACCATATTGATTCTAATAACTTCTCTGCTTAATTTCAGCATAATTCATAATTATTACTAGACCTTGCCTGTTCTATCATGCCCCTCAATGATAGTATAACATTAACTAGCTTTTCCCAAGCTATACAGCTGTTCAGCATAATAATGTTCTGAAATTGGCAAGTTTGAATGATCTTTGCAGTATTCATAATAAATATATTAGAAGGAAGCACTTTTGACTTATTTAGTGCTATAGAATGAATAAAAGACAAGAACAAGAACAAAAGAAAACAATTTTGCTGTAGTAGTGCTATCATGAGGGAGAGATGTACTGTATATTTGTTTCCATGTATGCATATAGACGCATCCTGATCTTCTGCAGGATTACTGTTGCTGTTAGCCACAATGATGAGAATTGATGTGTTGACATATTAATTTTTATGAGTAGCCTTTTTAACCCTGCAGATCTCCTGTCGGTGGGAAGTATATGAAGGAGGACTATTTTGAAAGTTTACACAATAATATAAATGAACATTTGTTAGGAATCAAGAGCATTTGTGTTCCATTCTACAATTCATTCCTGCTGAAAATTCCTGCATAATACATATTAAATTGTAATAATCCTAATATACATACTTCAACATTTAATGGCATGTGTGTGTTGTTGGAAAACTATAGAGTTGTGTTTTTTGAAAAACTAGTTTCCAGAGGATTGAAAACTTAATGAAGCCTTGGTGCTTTTTTTTAAGGAATTAATTGTCCATAAATAAAACCTAAGTAAGCAAAGTCCCCATAGTACTGAGAGCTAAAGGTTATCTGTTTCTTTCTTCAGCTTTGTCTCTCTTTCTTTAAATGATAAAAAGAGTATCAGGGTAGCAGCAGCCATAGCCAGTAATCGGGCCTGAAGTGCCAAACTTTTTTCTGGCCACTCACACCCTTACACTAAGAGTGGGAAAGATAGATTCTAAGCATGAGTTACAAATGATGTAGTGGCCACATGTAATAATTTGCACATGTAAATAGATCAGAAAACATTCTTACTGCTAGATACCAATCAGTAAACAAAAATTGAAAATGTGTAGAGATGAAGTTTATGCATATGAGAATCATATTTAAGGTCTTATTCTTAATCAGCATCAGGGATGTGCCATTCAGTTTGTTTTGGACCCAATTCTCAGAATTCTCTAAGAATTTTCCAGGCAGAATTCTTGGAGTTCCAAAACACAGAGCCACAACTACATTTTTCCCCACCTGGACTAGGATCTCCCTTCATCTTGTTTCCTGTTGTAAATGTACAAAAAAAGTTGCCGTGGTGCTTCTTGGGTGTTGTAATCTTGCTGCCTTTTAGGCTCTATAGAGGGCATCTCCTGAAGAAATATGACAGAAAGCAGTGTTTTACCTTTTGATGGGAGCTAGGCAAAGCAGCCTTGGAGCTGAGCTCTGGTCTAGGTGAGTGAAATACAGTATTGGTGTCTGTAGGTATGACACTAAGGGCTGAAACTCCCTGAATTCTGCCTGGGGAATCTTGGGAATTGGAAATAAGAACAGAATCAGCATGTAAACTGGTCACTGTGGGCTATACCATGTCAGACTCAGATGGGAGCCAACATGATTGAACATTTTTCCATAAAAATTAAATCCCTGCACATAATACAAAATCTAACATATCATAGAGAAGACTCTGCTTCTCCTGAACTTTTTTTTTAAGTGTCTAGGCAACTGTGTTTTTGTAGCACAAATATAGGAAACATCCACTTCTCCAGCTGTTCTTGGATTGCAGCTCAAATTGATTAATCCTAGCCAGCCTAGTGATAGTTGAAAGAAGATGGCAGTTGCAATCCAGCAACATTTGGAAGGCCACATGTACTCTGATGTTTTTTTATACTCCTAGTATAGAAAGTTTATCCAGTCATGCCAGCTCTCATGTTTTCTGAAGTGGTGCAGTCTGAATATAGTGTTACCAACACCTTGGCTGTTTGCAGGAACCAGAATGTTTCCTGAGCAGAGAAGGAAGACACAGTGGGGCAATAAATTAATGCAACACAATACAATTTGAAGGTCTCAGGAATGTCTCCAGTTTCCCAGGTATACAACAGTGAACAGGGAGAGAACTAATCCATTCCTTAAAAGGGTCTATTGGAATCTGAACCACTGACAGCTTGCATCATGTTGATTAAAGTGTTGTTCGAAGCAGCTGCTTTTGAGCTCTGTATGAGATTTATCAAGAAAACTAAGACACAATAAATCTAGTTGGTTACAACCCTGATGGTTAGTCTGATTCTCAAATTGCCTTAATTCACAAGCTGCCAGAGGCTTCAGAGGCCTGAGATGAAATGAGGAAAGTTATCTCAGAGAACAACTTAATTGGCTGATGCTTTGAAAGGAAATTTCAAATTAGCAGGAGCAGTGCTGATGGCTTCTAGTTCTTGAAATTTTGTGGAGCACTAATCTAAATGCAAAAGGTAAGCCTACATTGTCCAGGAATTTCTCTTTCTCCTCTGGATTAATGGATAAACTCTCAAGTCGCCAGGGTCTTTCTCAATCGTGCATCATGAATTCTGTTGTCTTGATAGACTGAAGTCATTAGGAGAGTGCATCGATGCTGAAAATGCTTTACACACAGGGCTGAGGTTGTCCTTGTATAACTGGATTCTAGATAGATAACAGTCCTAACACAAAAAGAAATATGAAATGCATAAATAAAGTGCCTTACTGGTGTTGGTCCTCATTTCAGTGGAGCTGCAGAAAGTTAACAGCAAGATTAACTACTAAACTAGGGAGCTTGGTAAAATACTTATTGCACTTGCGGGTTGCAACAAAAATGCACAATGATTGCCTTTTAATTTAAAAGGGCAATGTCTGCTAAAAACTATAGTTTTTTCTTTTGTCAGGCTCCTTTTGATACTGTTTATACTGCATACAACAGAAATACTGTATTGTCAAAGATAATAAAACAGCTTTTTCTCCAATTTATATCAATGCTATGCTGTCTACCAATAGTAACTGTCTCCGTCAGCAGCCAAAACAGAATATAATCTTGTACTTTATTTCTGTTACATCGCTGTTAGAATAATTTTTTAAAAAAGATTAAATTAAGCATACTTTAGAAGCATACTTCAGAAATTTAGTCCGGAATTCATAACTAGAATATGAGCCATACATTTTGATTGGTTTTAAAATTCTATTTTAGTTGTTATTACTCAGAAGAGATTGTGATGGAAAACATTTCTGGGAGGTAGTTTTCATTAAAATTGTTGCTAATGGGACCAAAGTATAATGAACTAGAAGCACATTTTGGAGAAATCTCTCAAAGGATGTTCATTATACTGATGCGTTTTAGTTTTAAATAATAAATTAGAATGGCAGTGCTTATGGGTGAAGTATATCAAATTGAAATAAGTAAGTAAACATCATTCAGTATGCTTATAATTTCAAAATGCTAATCCTTTTTAAGTATCATTTGGTGGACTCTAGCCTGGAATATGAGCAAACCAAATATATTTTCTCTTCAGTATGGCTGAAATATCTTTACAATGTACTATCCTCTGTTAGACCGTTGAGAGGGGTGCATATGAAAGAGAAAGAGATAATGGTAGAATAATTTCACAGTGCCATTTAGGCAAACCAAGCAGGTTACATTTAAAAGGTTGGAGGTGGGTTTTGTAATTATTCTGACACATAGTTTTTTTAATCTTGTTCAGATTGCTTTCAACATG